ATTCCTAGACGTGACCCAGCGAAACGCCGGGCCACGTATAACTTGTTTTTGACCGATATAACATTTCCCGTTGGTTTCATCCCATCCCGATTTTGACTGTCGCATAGTGTAATTAAAATAATAAAATCAGGCGTGTTTTTATTCACAGGAATGTGATAATATGCTTAAAATTTTTGGGCTGATGAATACCCGCTAGAACAGTATGGCATATATAATTCCTTATATAAGCCGCATCACTAAGAAAATTATCCCTTGTGAATTTGAAATGTTTCCCTTATATTGTACAGGCCAAATAGAGTAGTTCATTTACGTGTGATATTTTGTCCCCCTCTTTCAAATTGGCTTCTTGTGCGCATATATCAGGTTTGATAGCTGTTGACCATACTAATAATGCCTCATACTCAGTTTTACTAGATCAATTCGTGTTCTCGAGAAAAAAAATTTCACGATTCAAAAATCTGAGTGTAGCGCCCAAGTTCTTCTCAAAATTTTGAAAATTCTTCGTTTTTTGGCCTATATTTGCTTTGTATGGTATTTGCCGCAAAATATAGGCCAAAAACGATAAATGTTCCAAATTTGGAGAAAAAAGAATTTTCAGATTTTTGGATTGTGAAAATTTTTTTCTCGGAGAACACGAATTGATCTAGTAAATCTGAGTATGAGGCATTATTGGTATGGCCAACAGTTATCAAACCTGATATATTCGCACTAAGGTTTTTTTGTGTTCCACAGTGTTATATAAGGGAAACTTTGAGGAATCATATAAAAAATTATACATTACCCAAGTTCACGTACATCCAAGTTCGAGTCAAACAGCAAGCTTTTTAATGTTTTATTTATTTGTTTTTGAAATTAACAATATATTTCAGAATTTATAATTAATACGTTGTGTTCATTTTAGTAAATCCACTTTGATTTTTAATTGTACAAAATTTATTATATACATACAGTATCGGTCATATCAATAGCAACCCCATTTCAAAGTGATATTATTTCCCTCTCATGGTAATTTATTTCTAAGAATTTGCAATAAAAATAAAGTTCAATTTCTAACAAAACCCATATAAACCCAGTTTTAAAACTTCGTAGAAAACTACAAAAAATACAACAAATTTTCACCCAAAATTCACACTTTTTTCTCAGAAGTGTTAGAATTTTTTTGAGCACTCAGTTTTATAGCCCCTTCAATTTTAGTCTTATTATATGCAAGTTTGAAGTGGCTAAAAATTACCGTTGATTTTTTAGAATCGATATAAAAACAAATCGTGTTTAATCGGCTTCCATATACCGAAAAATGCGACTATATATCGAATGCTGAGTGGAATATCGACCTATCTCGGCAGCCAGGTCGAAAACGCTCGATATCAGGGCACTGTCCCAAAAGTTTTGGAATCAGTTTTCAAACAGAAGCTCAATTTCGCAGTGAAAAGTTTAATTTGCCCTTACCAGCACGGGTTTGTTAGTGGGAGGTCGACTGTCTCCAACCTTGCTATATTCATGGAGGACTGTGTTTCTGCGATGCAGTCAGGTCTACAAGTGGACGTTGTGTACACAGACTTTTCGAAGGCGTTCGACAGAGTTTCGCATAAAGTCTTAATTAATAAGTTATCGCGATTGGGTTTTCACTCAACTTTTCTGGAATGGATTAATTCCTATCTGTCAGATAGGCGTTGTACAGTTGCTTTTGATAACGTACTCTACACTCCTTGTGTAGCTACGTCGGGTGTTCCCCAAGGCAGTATCTTGGGCCCTCTTTTATTTGTCTTATTCATAAATGATATTTGATCATGCTTCCAGTCTACTAAGTATTTATTATATGCTGACGATCTAAAGGTTTACTCAGCGATCAGAACCTCACAAGACTTTTTTGCTGCAAGCTGAGCTTAATAACCTGCATTCTTGGTGCTCTCTTAATTCCTTATCTTTAAACGTTAGTAAATGTTCCTATTCCACTTTCACCAGAAAGCTTCTTACCGTTCAAACCAATTACAATATTGGGGGCCACGATCTTAATTATGTCGCAGAGGTTAAAGACTTAGGGGTTTACTTCGACTCAAAATTAACCTTCGCAACCCATATTAATTACGCAATTTCCAAAGCTTATGCAATGCTAGCATTCGTACGTCGTAATGGTCAGTTGTTTAAGGATCCCTATACTCTGAAGCTTCTTTATGTCACGTTAGTGAGATCTAGGCTAGAGTATGCGTCTTTCATTTGGCGTCACTATCAGGCCGTCTATATAAACCGGATTGAGAAGATTCAAAAAGTTTTTATTAAATTTGCCTTGCGTTCTCTAAAATTTTCTGAGCCTATACCTCCGTATACTTCTCGTTGTCAACTTCTTAATTTAAGTTCGTTAAATACTAGGCGTTCTTTCCTCGCAGCCTCTTTTGTGGCCAAAATATTGGAGGGCACAGTCGATTGTCCTAATCTTTTGGATAAGTTAGCATTAAACGT